CAGTAAATAAATTCGCGCTCTAACCACTTGGTCCATCTTGCCTCCCTGTCAAGGAACAACAGCTTGGAAGTCGATGAGTTGGGCTGGCGGCCATGAATTGTTGTATCTGTTTGTGTGTTCAATGATTCGCACGTTATCTACGCAGTGGGGTCAAACGGCAAAATGTTTGAGTACGATGGCGCCTGAGATCTTTGGACCAAATCCAACAACGTCACACTTTTCAGCCGTGCCGTCGACCAAAGAACCCGAAAACGATCACTCGAAGCCCTTAATAGAGCTATGGATGAACACTGCATGGTTACACACTGTGAATTCAAGGTCCGGTTCATTGAACAACCTCACTGAAAGGGCTTGTGCACAAAGAAACTCCCAACAATATTTTTTAAGCCCTTATTCGAGAAGCAACAAGTACACACACACACACACACTTTCGTGACAGCCATTTACAAATCATCCAAGAAGGATTTCAAAAGCCGGTCATCCACGATGTTATCCACTGAGGCGAAACACGCGTTTCATGCCAGTTGATTTCCCTTGGCCTATGCTCCAAACTGCATCTCTACGGTCAAACTTTGATTAGCGAGCCTTGTTTGTTGGAGCCCAATGATGTGCTTTTCGTATTTGTTGCTTTCTCAGTACGGTCTGGCAGGCATCCGAATTCAGAGCACTTTGCTCCTCCGGGTTGTTCACCGGTACGAACATGACAACAGCAGCAGCACACTGTCTTGCTTATGTGTAGCCATTCAGTCACAGAAGGAAAGCACCGCAAATCATGAAACTGCTTCTTGTGTGTTCCAAGTGCAGCAACAACAACAAAACCGGTGTGTACTTGCTCACCTCACAAACTAGACGCATACGGTATTTCGTTCAGGACAATCGATCGGCACCCTTGTCAGTAGCGGCGTGCCGTTTCATGGTACCTGTTTCACTTCCTGTTACCGGAATCCAATGGTTTCACAACGTTTTAAGCTCCGTTGTGTTTTCCCTAATTGGGAAATCGACCTACCTCATGAAAAAGGGTGTTTTAACGCGATAGGTTGTTTGTCTCACGAGGAGACAGACCTAAAGCAACACAGTGACCCCTTCCGTCCGCAGTCGCATCGCCTTCGACCAGTAACTCAAATCTACCAGCTGCTTATAGCAGTGGAGTTTAACGCATACGCGTAGGCTTTGTGCCCGTTTAAAATCACCCTTCTGTGATTCAAACAGGACAGTAGTATAGGCTTGCATGCCACGACAATATGATGCCTCAACTGGGGAGAGAAAAGTCATCAGCTTTGTTTCGTTCCGTTTCAAACATTGTTCCAAACCATACGCTTTTCTTGAGCTTTTCTTGAATCCCCAAAAGATCCGGCTGAAGTAGTAAGGGTTTGCGCTAAATTTTCTTCTGTCCCTCCCCCTCCCCCCTCCCTGCAACAGCCGGCTTTCCTTCTATCGCTGTCTACGTTTATGTCGGAGCAAATGGCCGAAATACGCTAGGCAGGGGGTATTCAGAAGAATTCAAGCCATTTCACTCCATTTATAAAGCCGAACAACTTTTGACTTCAACAATTGAACCTATTTTCTTTGAACTTGTGGTGGTCGTGGCGATTTCTCCTTTACTGGGAAAATCTGTTCGAACTGACATGTCCGGATGTCACACCACGCGGATGTTGATATCTGCTGCGTACCCCGGAATTCGGCTGTAAAGACGATGTCGCTGTTCTGACTCATATAAGCATCAGTGACTTCGAAGCCTGGAGAAATCCTCGGGCAGTGGGTTCAGGTTCAGGTATTAGGAGAGCAGAAGCTGACGTCCTGTGGAATCCACTGGTTGAGCGATTGGGAATCGGCCGGTTCACGATGCTTCCACAGATGATCGACCATTCATCGCTGATGTGATCAGCTATCGTTGGCTCTGTTTGAATCTTTCGTGGCAATTTATCCCACTATTAGAGTGAAGACAGTATACGACGGCAGTCTGTGTAGGACGCGTCTTTTCTTGTCATTGTGAACTTCCTGTTAGTTCAGTTGAAGAACGTGGCAGACAGACGGGAAATAGTTGAAGACATACCACTTTGAAGGTGGAAACGGCATCCATCCATGTTCGTCTACAATTACGGTTCCACAGTGTCTGTATCCTAAGCGTGACCGGTCGTTTTGTTCGGAGATTCTCGCTCATGTCACCGAACAGTAGTCAGGCCTGTAAACCGTTGATCTTACGAATGTGGTAAAGTTCTCCGGCACCGACTGCGAGTTCCGGCTAGCGGGTTCTTCTTATGGCTAAAAACGCAATAGCATCAGGCGACGTTGACGCTTGGTATGGTCCGAGACGTAGCGGATCCAAACACACTTTCCTAACCACGGTCTCTTGTGGGACGACCTGTCCTAATGAGATGCACCTTCTATCATCGGACATGCATCCTACCGATTGTGGAAGATTGATTTCAAGCGTGACCGGTCGTTTTGTTCGGAGATTCTCGCTCATGTCACCGAACAGTAGTCAGGCCTGTAAACCGTTGATCTTACGAATGTGGTAAAGTTCTCCGGCACCGACTGCGAGTTCCGGCTAGCGGGTTCTTCTTATGGCTAAAAACGCAATAGCATCAGGCGACGTGACGCTTGGTATGGTCCGAGACCGTAGCGAATCCAAGCACACTTTCTTAGCCACGGTCTCTTGTGGGACGGCCTGTCCTAATATGGTGCACCTTCTTTCATCCGGCATGCATCTTACCGATAGTGGCAGATTGATTTTGCCAAAGAGCCGTTGAACGGTACTCAAGTCCTTTTGTAAAGCAACAAAGTCCTCTGATTCCTGGAGTGTTCCCCAACTTATTAGGTCGTCAGCAGAAAGTAATCAGTCGGACAGAAGCGACTGTGGCCTACTGACATAAACATTGGACAGTAGAGGCCCGAAAGCGTGACAGAGTTTCACTGACCCTCACTTGAAAACTTCGGCGTTCCAGAAAGTCATTGGTCCTCGGCTCGGTAGGGAGGCATATGCCTCAAGCGTCCTCATTAGTACTGCCGATCAAATTCCTTGCTAAACTCTATCAGCAAGAGATAGTTCAACGGTTAGGGTGCGAACTTACTGACCGGAAGATCTTCGGTTCGAACCCAACCTCTTCATCTCGACTGCCTCTGTCTAGACTTGGGCAAAACAGCAGTATCTCAGCTCCCGCGATTCCTCCGGATTGCATGGTGGCTACGAGAACGCATGAACTGCTCCGCGGGGTCTGTTTTTGTTCACCACGTTGCCATCATAATCATCCACCTAATCCATTGTTCCATCAGTTTGTCCACGACTGATGTGAGGCATGGCGGTACGCAATTCGCAGCATCGTGGAAAGGTTTGATGGCAACCACTTTCCAGTCATCTGGAACGATACCCATGTATGGTGACATGGTGCATGATGTTGCTAGAGGCGATTGGATTCCATCCGGTCCGAGTACTTGTTAGACATCCATGTGCTGAAGAAGGTGTAATCCACCACTGTGGTGTGACGGTGGTGACGTGTTTAGCTAAACGGGGGCATCGTCCATGTGACACTCGCACCGGATTGGTCAACTGTTACACGTCTGACCTACACAGTTTCCCGGTCCTCCAGTTTGGGAGTCGGAACACGTGTGGTGACTCGTTCCCTAAAAAATGCAATGCACCGACAATCCCCGCCCTACATCGCTATGTGGCGGTCAGACATTTGAGCCAAAGACTTTGCTTCAAAACCCTGGTCGTCCTCTCGCCGAGGTTTTGGTGCCCTGGCAGAATTCCACTTCGCGTACAGCCATGGTTTGGACAACTAAAAATAGTGTCATACCAAATCGGCTGGGTTGCCCCAGTTGCTGCAGGGCGAGTAGATGAAACAATCGATTCCTGATGCCTTCCTTTCTCTTCAATGCACTTTTTCATTTCACTTCATTGATAACATTCCTTGTAGGACCATCCTTTAGGACTGATGACTTCACTGGTGGCGACAGTTGCGGGTCAGCCGGCGCCAACAGTCTCAAGCGTCGATGCTGGGTTTTTCTGGCCGCTTTTAATGTTCGCACTCACACTTACTCGTCTGAAATTAATGTGTGCTGTGCATCAGAAGTAAGAATTCAAGCTTCACTACGGAATCGTTGAGCTTCCATTTACTCGCCTCTGGTAATCCATAGGCCGCTACGACAGGCTCTACAGCGGTCGGTATTGTTCTTGGTCACCCGGCGGAAAGACCTTTACTTGACTAGATACACTTGATGGTTTAGTGGTTAGAGCGCGAATCTACTGACCGGGAGGTCCGTGCTTCGAACCCGACCATTACTTTCCGACTTCCTCTGTCTGGGCTTGGGCAACCTGGCGGTATCTCAGCCCTCGTGCTTCCTTCCGGTGGCATGGCAGTTAGGTACCGAAAGGGTGCTACAGCTAAACGATCTAAATGATTTCTATGCTTTTCAACTGGCAACGCTTGATAGCCTGATGCGTTTAGCCAAACAAGAAAGCCAATGAACGTGCAAATCAGCTGATCTACTGAACACTGACGCTTACAAATGTGTGCAGCCGAAAACGAGCTGTTCATATGGCTCACGTGGAAAGTTCTAGGTGGGCCAAAAAGCGATACGAGGGTCGGTGTAGAACAACCAATTAAATCTGTCTCAACGAAAACGAGTAATTCCATTCGTAGTTGTGTAATCGGAGCTGGTTCTCCTAATAATCTGGAATATGCAAACGACATCATTCCATTTTTGAGGAAGCCACAGTTATCTTTGGATGAATTGACTAAACTCGTCCCGTCCTTTGGTACGGTCTTTGTATCGACATGCAATCACTGAAGGTGCCATTTACAATCAAACAAGAGGCACTGAAGGTTATGCGACGCTTTACTTATTGTAGAAGTTTCTGTAAGTTCCAGTCGTAGTGTGACAGATGAAGTCAATGCACGAATCTCTAAGACTCGAGTCGCTAATTCGAGATACGTGTGGTGACAAGCGGTCAATCTCTGAATCTCAAGGGACATGTGTATCAAGCGATAGTACGGGCTTTTTCTTGTATAGTTGTGAGATCCAGCCTCTGTGAGCAGCGGAGGCTCATCCTTCGAAGTCCATGTTCGTTGGGAGAGTCTGGTGATCTTTTCCCACGGGTTTTCAGGCAAAACGGAACGGAATATTTTGGAGTCGCACGGGCGTCTTTTCAGCGCAGTGTTGCCCAGATCACCTTCACAGTGCAATCATGTTCTGATTTCCAGGCGTGGACGCGTCTCTGTGCCAAATCTCCACCCAGCTTCTGTTGCCATGAGACCCTTGGAAACAAGACCTTAAAATTAGGAGAAAGATAAGTGAAACTGAGACAGGCGGTCCACTAAACGATATCAGAGATATCGTCGAGTGGAAACCGCGTACCTCATGCGTTGTCAATTTTAGTATCACCTCAGCTGTAGCACCCTTTCGATGCCTAACCGCCATTCCACCAGAAGGAAGCATGAGGGCTCGGATACTGCCAGCTTGCCTAAGCCTAGACAGGGGAAGTCGAGAGGCACAGTTGGGTTAGAACCACAGACAGTAAATCCGCACTCTAATCACTGAGCCTTCTCACACTTAGTACTACTTAGACCTACTGCAAGTAGTATGCGATGAGCATTTCAGCTACTGAACAGATTACTCTATTACATGCTATAGGGAATGCAACGATTGTCCTAGGGCTTAGATACTTTCCTGCACAGCTGATCTCTGTTCTGTGATATTATAGTGGACTAAGCTGCTTGAATTCCCCTAACCTGCACGCATAGCCCATTACTTGATTCCCTTTGCTTAAGATGGTGAGCGAAATTGCTTTAGTGCCTTTGTCTGACCGATTTCCGTTATTCTGTGACAATAGAGATGCCAGTCTGCACGCACACTGCTAAATCGGTATTTGGGATAGCATGTCAACCTATCGGTAATCGAATACTATTGTTAATCGTAGGTTTAGGAGCAAATACTCTCTCTGTGTGTGTATGGCTATACCCTGTGGGAACTGACTGCTGAGCTGTTGTCAACATGGAACGATCGTGTGGTGGGCTTGCTGTCATTATGCCGAGGTTGCGCTTTGGCAAGCAGCCCGAAATCCGATTGAGTACGCTTGGGTGTGAGGGTAAACGAGCCGACCGACCCCCATGTAGACGAACGTTACCCAAACCTAGTTACACAATTGGAACGTTTCCGATAGATCTGAGCGGATCACTTCCGAGCGTAAGTTGAAACTATCACCCTCTGTTACTATTTATGGTCGGAGCAACAACTTGCTGTCGTCTCTCCTGAAACTGTATCCGGTCAGGATTTCAACAATAGTAGGACTTTTCCAGACACAATGATGATACCTTGTTGATTCAGTGTCCTCTCTGATCTGAATAGGCACTGGAGATTATCGATCAAGTTGCCGAGGAACTACATATCCGCTACTGCGATCTCCCCATCCCTCAGTGGGCCGAGGAGCTATTGGCCAAAGAATATCCAATGGCACCACTGACCACCACGGCCGCCTTCACTGCCTTCAACAATAACACGGATCACTTATCCGTGCTCAAGGAGATGTTGGTAAATTCATCGGTCGATTCCTCGTCAGTGTGCCCGTACAAGAAAAGGCAGTGAGAATCGCACTACGAAGAAGAACTTTCGGGTAAGTTGAATACACATGCAAAGTTTACTCTCGTGTTTTGGTACGAAAGATGTCACCGCCTGATCTGGGAAATCTAGGCTGTGTTCAGGTAGTTTTTTCATCTTATGAAAAGGGGGTTCGTAAGTTCTGTAAAGCAACATGTGCTTGCGGGGAATGGTCCAAGCGCATCTTAGTCATGACTGTTGGATGGCGAAGATAATCCCGTCCGTCCAACGTGTCACAGCCTTTTAATGTTCACAACAAGGCGAGATGGCTCAGTGGCTAAAGCGCGAATTTACTGACCGGGATGTCTGTTGTTCGAACCCGACCTCTGCTTCGCAAATTCCCCTGTGTGGACTTGGGCAACCTAGAAGTATCCCACCCATCGTGGAATTTTTGGGTGGCATGACAGCTAGGCACCGAAAGGATGCTACAGCTGAACGACTTTCTTTTACGTGAAGGCGATACACAGGACGTCGTGGACGTTCTCGACTTCGGATGTTTCTCCGAATTTGATGAAACATCTGCAATGTTTTGGGCACGTGTTATTCGCTCGGCGGACAATCAAACATTTGTATCACTGACGTCAGAACCGACTAGAGACAACTTGTTCTCTCTGTGGATTAGGCAGCCTCTCACTAGAAATCATTTCTGAAACCGACTCACCTCGCCTCATGAAATTTCGTCCCTACACCAAGGTGGCATAAGGCAGACCATTCTGATGGGACAGCTGATGCAGTTGCGTAGTCACACAAAGCATCATCAATACGTCTCTTTTATTCATAGCAAATGTGCACACCTGCTTCTCCAGGTCACGCATTCACCCTGCCGCCATTAGTTAGAACAAAACTGAGTATCAGCGCCACCCCGCACATTCCTTAGTTCAGTAAATTTCGTTGCAAGAATTTGATTTATCGATTGATCGTGCCGCCTAGTTAACAATTGGTGACTTGCATACCGAAATCTCCTTTCCAGAAGGCATCCAGTCATCCCATCGATCTGGAATGGTAAAGGTGGACGCCTTGTACAAGGTTCTAGTAACCGTACGACACGAGTACAGCTCACCATTGAAAACTGGTAGAGCGGATTTGAATATATTGGGCTACCGATATGAGTGTTTGTCGGCCAACCAATTTATGATTATTGTGGACGCTCACTTCTGTATCAGATGCAACAAGATGTCGCTAAACGTGGTTGGTTGCAGGATCGCTGTACTTTGAACGTCAATTTCGTGTCATATACTCTGATTCAAGGGTGCTTGGTGCCAAATCCTGTCTATGTGCAATTGGCCTACTAGCCTAGAGGTTCACCAGATGCCGAATGGCGATGTTTCTCAATCGGAATGAAACAACAGTGATAAGAAATAATAATCGTTCAGCTGTAGTGCCCTTTCGGTGCCTAGCTGCCATGCCACCCAAATAAAGCACGAGGGCTGGGATACTGTCAGGTTGCCCAAGCCTAGACAGGGGAAGTCGAGAGGCAGAGGTCGGGGTCGAACCACGAACCTTCCGATCAGTGAATTCGCGCTCTAACCACTTGAGCCATCTCGCCCATGAAACAACAGTGCTTCTCAGCTTTTTGTCCAAGATGGAATTCGCTTGCAGGACAAATCTCCACCGGCACATCCTATAGCTAAGAGCTCTGATAGGTCGCGGCAACTGGAAGAATACGCAAATCAAACAAGAACTCTGAAGCGTGAAAACGTACGAATTACGCCAGCTTATGGTCAGTCATCAGTAGTCACTTTGACTTCATTGACAGCCTCGGAGAGTCATTTGTAATGGATAGCCCCTATCTGGGCGGATACAACAGCTACCAGATAAGTGTCGGCTCATTCCTCTTCAACGTGAGGCGAACAGCCATCCTAGTTTATTCGCCTTGTGAGGAGAGTTTGGAATTTTCAATGGAGATTTCGTCCTGTAAGGGAAGCCGACAAGTGCTGTGTTCAGCTGTTTCATTCTCAGTGGAAATCGTCAACAGTGCGCATCTCACGAAAACTCGGCAGGGAGTTTCGGACCCGCGACCTCCTGGCTGGTAGTTTGAACTGTTCGGCCACGAGCGGCAGTGACTAATTCACATGTAGTCAGGATTTAGCGCCATTCATCCTTCAATCACGTGTTGACTGGATATGGAAGAGCAGGAAACAACCGTTTTCGGATTTCACACCCCTAAGGAGAACACCTTTCGGAGGTCCCATTATTCCTCCTCAACAAGGTGGTTCCTCGTCACAGGCGCACTGAAAAAAAAGCGTCACGAGCTTTTGTACTTGGATAAAGAAACTTAATTCGTTTTCGGAAAAGTTTGGTGACAATCGGTAGATTTATTGCTGGACGGCGTTTCGCTTTTGACACAAAAGCTTCGTCAGGCCAAGTGACTAGGTTCCGAGGTTGGTCGAGATTTAAGGCGGAAGGAGAACCAATCAGCTGAGGCAAGCTAAATCTCTGTTGGGTGTCGGCCGAGGGATTTTAGTGTGTTAGAGTGATTGAACAAGTGTTGGGTCGATGGGGAAACCTACATGTGTTTGGGTCCAGCCTAGGGTCTAGTTCTTCTGGTTCGGTTCATTTGATGGTCCCTCGTGAAGTTCGTTTAAACCTTCCGTCAGTCTGTGTGGGTAAGCTAGTGCTAAGATAGTTGTGTAGGAGGGATGCTGTGACCTTTGTTCGGGTTGGAGTCTCCACCACCCGGTTTTTTCTAATGCTCATACGTGGATTGACAACCACACCGTCACGTGTCAACTCGGTTTAGCTAAGATCGCTTTCCACACGCTCGCTAGCTCCACGCCCTCGATTCTATTCACGCTGTGATGCTTAGTAATTTCCGTCGTCTCGGCTATCAGCCGCAGTCCCCGTCTTGAAATTTCCACATTCTCCAGATCTATTCTGTGTCCCGTGTCTAAGGCGTGTACCGCCATCGCTGAGTCTTTGGCCAGCGTTTGGTATTCTTCTGCATCCTTCTTTTATGTTCACCAATTCTGATGTGCAATTCCCTGGCAGTTTGCTCTATATGAACCTTAGCGCAATCGTTGCAGTTAATTTTATACACACAGTCCCTAGTCCTTTCAACCGACAGCCTCCATGAAGGTTGGACACAATTATCCGTTCTCCTGACTATCCAGTGCTGTCGCATATTCGTTACTGATGAATATCGACGAACCTGCATAGGCAGTTTCAGCCCCCGTTACCCTGATCGTTTCAGACCTGTGTCTTCGTGGCTAAATAACACACTCGTCACGATGACTTCTCCTTACAACAAATACGACGGCATTTCCTGGAAGCTCTTTAATCTTTGTGTTGCTTACGTCGTCTCATTGTCTTCGATCGATGTGCAGTTTCAACCAAAGGCACTGTGCGCTTGCCTGCCTAAATTATCGGTCAAATCCATTCCGATTCAGAAGATTTGGTAACTCCGCTGTGCTTATGGCATAATGTGGTCCGAGCAATTGTCAAGTGTCTGATACAGGAATTCTTGAGTCACTCGCGGCCAGGGCGATCCCGGCAGTCAGTTGCTCACAGGACCATTGAATGTACCTCCTCGGTCGTTGCCGAAGGGTTTGTAAACCATTCGTGAAGCTCAACGTTTTCGAACATGAACACGAAAAGTTGGCGTTCGTAGTCCACAGTACCCTTTACGGGTCTCAATTATTCGTTTTTTTGGGATCAGGAACAAGTTTGCAGGTCTAACAGGCGACCAAAGCAGCGCAGTTTTGATCCATGCACCCCTCCGGCCAAAACTTGACGGTGTGAGTTGCCGGTTTGCTCATTCTCAACCTCCTGTTTGCGATTAGTTGTGTGAATACCCGGATGCGTCACTTTAGGACAAGTTAAAATGGCTCGACGAAAGAAGGAATAAGAGCAGATGAACACACACACACACACACACAAGCATGCCAAAAGGGTCATGACACCGGTGCTTTGCCGAGCTGAACAAAACCATTCGGGGCTTGGCCAATTTGCAAACGCGGTGGGTGAAAAAATAAACACAAATATTAGGTCTTTAGCTTCGGAAATGGTAGTCAACTCACGAAGGTGGGGAGTGAGTCAACTGTTAGGGGAATCGGAACAGTTTTCCTTTTTGGTTATGGCTCGAGGACACATTTCACGCCCTCCCAGTAAACTCCTCCATGAGATTGTTCCTCCCCTTTCCTTGTTGAGAGGTCCCTGTATTCACCAGGGACCCATTCCCATAAGTATCCAGCACAGCCGTCCAGTATAATTAAACGCCCCGATTCTTTGAGCACACCTAACAGGAACTAACAAAGAACAAACCGATTGAATGTATGCAACATGATAAGTAGACTTGAGAGTCTCATTTGCACGAATTCAGCCGAGACAATTCATCTCAGTGATCATCATCAGTCATGTTCCCTCATTCAGTTACTTCATCGATCATGGTGGTCACATCAAGACAGCCAGAAGTGAAAGCTTTACTTCACTTTTCTGTACGCCACTCAGGAACTCGTGATTTACCTGTAACACGCCTGTTCCAAAACAAGGTGGTATTGCTTGGTTTAGAGACCCACTCATTTTCCCATCCCGTTACCGAAGTACGAGGTTAACATCTGTTAACTCAAGCTGGATCCCAAAAACGCTTTTCTATCTGTTCACTGAGTACAAATGTCCATCTAACACGCGTGTTTCTATCCTATTCAATGTGTTTTGCACCACGCCGCCGCCATCAGTATCTATGCAAATCTGTCCCCCACTCTCTCTCTCACACACACACAGAAACCTAATCGAGGAAACCCCCTTCTCCAACAACCTGGATGTCCTAACAGACCTTGCCGTACTTGGTGCTGCAGCCTTTCGCGCAACAGACGCATTTCGCAACATTCTCGACCATCATCAGTCCATAGGATTTTTCGTTGACCATCGCACTCGACTTCGACCCGAGGACATCCGGTATCCTTTGCGCTACATTCGTTACTGTGATTGCTATTCACAAGACCAGTACTCTACACTAACCCTCAACAGACTGTGCCTCTTGACTTCTAGGTTTTTGGCTTTGTGTTCGTTTTGTTTTCTCTGCGCGCGCACGCGTGTGTGCGTTTCGTTTTCTCTCGTTCTCTGGTGTGCTTATGTGATAGGCTTGAGCCCCCCCACCGCCTTATTGTGCCGGTGCGTGCGTCTGTGTTAAATTATTTTTCTTCGGCTGTTTCCAGATGTTTCTAGATTACAGTAATGGGGCTGTGCTTTTCGCCAGCGAACACCTGTTGTGTCCGCTGCGATAGAATGTATTTGAGTTTTGTTCTCCACTCCACCCGCCCACCCACCCCTCGCCCCAATAGTATTTTTCCATTATCACCTTTGGCTGTGCAGCACCCCATCCCATGCAACAGTTTCCTTTTCCGGGTTGTATTTTGTTAACTCTTGATGATTACTGTTCACTAACCAAATATATCCTGTGTATAACCGGGCTGTGTGTGTGTGTGTGCCTGAGCCCCAGATTGCTCAATGGTTCGAACCTAACCGTGGCATCCTGGTGGTTTTGGACAATCTGACAGTACTTCAGCCATCGTGCTTCCTTTGAGTAGCGTGGTGGCTATGCTCCGGTCGGTTTCTCGCCTCTTGGATACGCACGTCGATGATAAAACGGTGGGGCACTCGCCTCTTCCACACCATTCACTTCGTGTATCCACCGTGAAACTTATGATGTTTTTTTTATTTACTGGATATCTTTCGGAATTGTATGCATATGATTACCGGTTGGTAATCGCATGTTGTCTCGTAGACATGAGTTTGGTGCGGGCCTGATTCTCTATTCTCACCACCATCATAACTGGTTGGACACTGGCCTATCCATGGACGCGATGAATCAGTGATTAGAGCGCGAATTTACCGACCGGAAGATCCGTGGTTCGAACCCGACGTGTCTGTCTCTCGACTTCCTCTGTTCAGGCTTGGGCAACCTGGCACAGTATCCCATCCCTCGTGCTTCCTTCTGGTGGCATGGCAGTTAGGTACCGAGAAAGTGCTACAGTTGAACAATTTAACCATGGAATTCGGTCGATACCGCGGTGGTGTTCGTCGATACTTTGTTGTTTTTTCACCTGACCTAGGGCAAAGTACCGAAGCAACAGAGGTCACACTTGGTAGGTGACCCATCCCAACAGATTCGCGACTCAAATGTTTTTTTCTCTGACTGCTCCCACTAAACGCAGTTGAAACCGCCTTCCAGCACACTTCAATTCGGCTTGGTTGATACAGCTATTGTGGCAGCAGTGTTTACATACACTATAAGTGAGAACTTGATATATTCAATTCATTTATGAGAGTGCTGGTTACGGAGCTGTAACAGAGTGATGGTATCATCATCGATAGCATGACATCAGTGTTCAACACCGATGCTTCACTGCCCTACAACCATGACTTATTTGAAAGCCTTGTTGTAAAAAAAGACTAAAGGTGGACGGGGGAGGGACTTAGTGCTAGCTTAATACGACCATTCCGGGGTACATACACCTCCTGACATTCACTCAGGCAATCTGGATGGAAACTGACAACAAGAACGCCACTGACATCGATTGGCAGCCATATCTTGTAGTGTCTCCCACCAGGCACAGTGAGGATCACGCGGTCCCCATCCTGGAAGGCGAGTAGCACCGACAGCACCCAAGCGTTTCGTGATCTCCTTCATACCCCAGGTCAAGGGTTGGCCACTTCTCTGCCTCTGCCCACTTTGAACTGGGCAAACGATCGTCAGGTGGATGAGAACAGTCAGCCTACGGGAAGTGATTACAGCTGGTTGCAACCAGCTCAACGAAAAATAAACAGAGGGTTGGTGATAGTTGTCATCTTGGTGATAGTGGGCGTCGAAGGCTGATGTCAGTTGTGTGTTTGTGCGCCCTTCTCGGTCGACAACTGAGACAGTATCTTCGAAAGGAGCCACACATTGGAGTTAGTTATGGAATGACCGTCTGTCTATGGACTAAGATATGAGCTGGGATGACAGTGTAAACAGAAGATCAATTGTTTTCCCCACCTTTCGTTCGATTGCCCTGCCTCCTTGTTTGCATGCCACTTGAGTATTTGAACAGTCAAGGGGCGTGCGTTTGCACAAGCAGAGGTTGAAAGCATTTGTCTCTCCAAACATATATATATATATATATATATATATATCGTTCATCTGTAACACCCTCTCGNTCTCGCCCCCTCTCCAACCAACAACATGTGAAAATGAATCTTCCATTCGCATTTCCGATCAATCAACAGACGGCTTCCTAACAACTCAATGAGCGCAAAATCTATTCGCAGTCGACTCAGGTAGTGACGTGATTGCGTAACCGGGCTCATTCTGTTTTTATTAGGAGGGAGACTGCATTATCTTCATTTGTGTTTTGACAGACAGAAAAATGCTAACCTTACCACAGGGCCGTACTAGTTTTTCCTAATACTGAGTCGCGTGTGGAATTTGATTAGTGGCACAGTAGTCGAAATTTGAAGCCAATCTATAGTTTTTAAAAACGAGAGCACTCTACAGCTGTTAAGATCCATCAGTAGTACGCCTTCGGCAAGTCTCTTGGGAGATTCGAACCCGGGAATTTACTGACCCTTAGCGAACGATGCCATTCGTTCACCAGTGGCTGATCAGCATCTTGATTAACTCGCTAGTGGGTACTCGAAACAGGCGAGGTAAGCACCATTTGAATGGATGATCCCTCTCGCCATCTCTCCACAAAAGAGATGCGAAAGCTTTGGCATTCCCTCGACCCCTCAGTCAGAATTCTCTAAAAGTTACTGAATAGTGTCTTGGTTTTTATACCGATGGTACTTTCCAGATGAGGTGCGACTGAAAACGACCGTTCCCACACACTTATTTTTTATATCATCTTGAAGCTGTGCCGAGATGTATGGGTGTTGCCCCCTGTCTCCGGACAGAATTCACTGCCGCTGAAATCACCCTGTTGTGAAGAGTCAGCTCTCAAGGACCATAGCAAACAAATGATGACCTTGACTACTGTGTTCAGTTTTCTAGAGTTTTCTAACGATAATTAAATGGCTGGCATAACAATCCGGGGATGATGAAGGTACCTGTCTCCAACATCTTGCTGAGAGACCATCGGATTTGCTGTCTTGCGCTTTCATGCGGTTCCTAGGTCGCGCAGTCGGTATAAAGCCATTCGGGGTATTCGTAAAATAATTGTATTTCACCTTGTCCTGGTCAGTAGACATTGAACATTGCACAGGTAACAACACAAAATTCCATATAACGAACGCCCATCAGGTGCGATCTGGTTGAATACTGATCACATGGAACCATGTACACCTGTGGGGGCGAAATGGCTCAAGTGGTTAGAGCGCAAATTTACTGATTGGAAGGTGCATGGCTCGAACCCGATCTCTGCCTATCGACTTCCCCTGTCTAGGCTTGGGCAACCTGGCAGTATCCCAGCCCTCGTGCGTCATTCGGATGGCATGACAGCTAGGCACCGAAAGCGTGTCACAGCTGAACGATTATGTACATCTGTGTGTTTCACACGAGTCGATAAGAGTTGTGCTTTCATTCTCTTAGCAGATGTTCACGATTTGTCACCTGTGCTGCAGTTATGCTGAAGAAGAGAATAAATCGTTCAGCTGTAGCACCCTTTCGGTGCATGGCTGTCACGCTATCCAAAGGAAGCACGAGGGCTGGGATACTGCCAGGTTGCCCAAGCCCAGACAAGATGCAGAGGTTGGGTTCGAACCTCTCGGTCAGTGAATTCACCCCATATCAGCCCTATAATAACGGGATCCGAGAGGACGATGTTGACGTGCTCACCTGACCATACCTTTACATGAGTCTTGAATAGAAAATGATGTGCAGCAATTCAGAGAAAGTTTGCTCCTCAAATTTTCCATCCATAGTGGGACAGACATGGTTCAAACTGAACTGGCTAATGGCGGTTAATGTGTAGAACAAATAGAACGAGGTTTAGTCAGTTAAGTAGCGACCAGCGGAGAACCGTCGATTCCTTGAAAAAAAACAATGTAGCTTTTTGTGCAGAGCCACTTGAGCACAAGTAGGTTGATTCTGAGTACACCGGACTTGTTACGGAAAAACGTATTGGGCAGGTACTCTTGGCGAACGACAGTTTTTGAAGGGTGAATCACGGTTAGCGAAATACACTAAATTTGATTTTGCGGGTGACTCACCGGGAACCCAGCTGAAGCTCTCTTTTATGATGTCTTCAAACAACTGAATGTGCTGCACACGGGCCGCCTCATGTTTCATTTGGTACGATATTCGAGATATCGCGATACATGTATAAACGTAATACACTACCCATAAGATGTCGAAGAGTTATCAGCTTCCTTACGAGTAGTGTATTACGTCTATACACGTGAATTCGGGTTTTGAAAAAATAGGTATGATCCAAAGTGCATTGGTCAAATGCAACTCTGCGTTCTTAGATGTTAACATGCAAACACCAAGTGGCTTATTGATCGATGTCTTGATCAGTGCTTTCAACTCCAACTGAGAGTGCAGAACCTATTGCCTACTTCACAATGCAGTGATTCATCGCTGTTCTTCATTGTTGAGCCTTCTTTTTTCTCAATCGGACAGTCCAACAGGTTTGTTGACTGTAAATTGAACTCGTTCTTATCCATCTCATGTTCGGTTCAAAGTGCACAGTCCATGTATGTTGACTGTCTCGTTTAGTGGTGGTATGTTGGCTGCACAAATAAACGGAATTTTTTTGTTACGATCGATTGAGCACGTTCTGATTGGATTGCAAGCACTGACCACCACCCTCTTAAGATCCGCGAGGCGCCGTTGGATACATTTGTTTCTTTTTTCCATTTTTTTCTGGTCACATTCAACTAGGGTTTTTCGAGTTTTCAACACATGTTCCCAGATTCATGGTCGATTGGGTCAGGGAAACGAAGAAACATTGTTTTGGAGTGATCAAATGGTTTCAAGCGCGAATAAAGCCAGTCGATACGAAGTAGGAAAGTGGGCATATTTCGAGGTATTCAACGAGTCAACATCTAAAACAGGAACGCAGTTTTAGGCACATTTCCAAGTCCCGCTTTTATGTCCAGCTTAATCCTTGGTTGTTGGTCTGTTTGCCGAGTTTGGCAATTGAACTGCAAACGGCTCATCGCCGATCGAGGTGACATCATCAGTTCGGGTTTGAGTGAGGATGTCACCACCTGTACTGGAGATGAAACGTTTGCAATCCAACAGTCAAGTTCGGCAAACAGACCGACAAGCAACCAGCGCAGCCGAGCCACCTTTGTTCCACTCGACTTCTGTCCTCGTTGCCAAGATACCTCACTGGGATGCGCGGCTTCCGTCCCAACTACTTAGGACCGGTAACTAGTGATTGACCAGGTGGCTTGCAATGCCTCGTCACCGATCGAGGAGACATCATCAGTGAGCAGCTGAGGTCGTCGGCCACCTGAACAAACACCGGTTAACGCACTGGAGCTACCAACAGTTCAACACAAGGCTAGTCCCGTAACCAGTCATATCAGCGCAGTTGGTCTGTTTGATTTCGTCAACCGGACAGTGGGGAAACCTGATAACTAAATGCATCGATGAAGCATTTGGTCAATACTTTTATCTACCACTGTCAGTACTTCAACTCATACCCAGGTGCTCTTTGTCTGCGTTGTACTCGGCGTTTTCCACGTTAACAGTCCAGCTGCTCAGTCCGAAGCAATGGCTACCTCGACAAGTGCTGCTTCCACAAATTGCCGCTTCAGCCAGTTGTTGGGA